TCCTATAAGGCTCGTTTCTCTGCCATGACAAACCTTGCTTTGTTCTGTTCACTCTCCTGTACCTACCAGCACCCACTGGAAGTCAGGAAAGCCGGATCTTCGTCCTCATGGGACAGTCATTTAGCCAAGTCGCTAACCTCTCTGAAGCTCAGGCTCTTCTCTGAAGAACAATGCTGAGGACTGGATTTTTACCTTTTGTTTAGTGTGTGGCAGGCAGCCCTTTCCCTACCCTCATGTAGAAACTAACGCAGAGCAGGGACACAGGAATAGAGACAGGAGGGTGTAACTGACAGGAGAGGCTGGATGTCCAAGCAGTGGTAAGAGGTAGGCAGTCAAGTAAGAAGACCTGATTTCAAACACCAGCCCCGCCCCACGCTAGTTCAAAGACCCCCTGAACTCCCTCAGAACCTGGTGGGAAAATCACGCTCCTGAATGGTCTCAGAGGTCTCCCCACGTCACATGTTGCGATCTATAATATTTACCACACAGAAAATAGACATATATTTTACTTTTTTAAATCCTTACCTGAGGATATTTTTCCATTGCTCTTCAGATAGAGTGGGAGGGAAAGAGGGAGAAGGAGAGGGAGAGGGAGAGGGAGAAACATGCATGTAAGAGAGACACATCGATTGGCTGCCTCCTGCACGACCCCAACCAGGGCTGGGGACCGAACTGCAACTGAGGCACATGCCCTTGACAGGTATCAAACCCATGACTCTTTGATCCGAGGGCCGACACTCTAACCACTGAGCAAAATTGGTCAGGGCTAGACATATATTTTCAAATTTGGGGTAGATTTGAACTTATCGTTTCTGTGGCATCATTTATCTTAATTTTTTTAAAGTATTGAACTGGAAGAGTTTGCATTGCTTCTGCTTTATCGCAGAATCTGATTTTTGACTAGTGTTTCCCAATCAGCACCTGCCCGAGACAAGTTAGCCCTGACCACCTTGCCTGGTCCTCCAACACAGGTGCTAATCTTAGAACTTGCCTCATCCCTAGACAGAAAAATAGAGTACATGTTTCAGATTTCCCCATCTGCAGTATCACTTGGCTTGAGGAAAAACTTGACTTGGTGCAGAACTATTCTATTTGATTTTTTTGTTAAATCTTGTTTCCAAAGGCCTGTTTACTGAGAGATTTCATAGTCCACCATAGAATCCCATCCCGATGTTTAATGACTGTGTTCATCAGGACACTTTCTTTTGTATCTGACAGAAGTCATCCAGTAAAGGTCCCTTCATGTAATGCTTCTCAACTTTCATTCTTACAATATATTTTTAAAAGTTTTATAACTAAGTTCTTTAGTGTTACCCTATATAGCTCTCTTCGGAGCTCTCAGTATTTTTTTCCCATTTCCTCCTTTGGATAGTGACCTTAATTTAGAAACAGGAATGGTGTGATGAGTGTTCCTGGAATTCTTTGACGTATGACATTGTTATATTAAATATTATGCATAGTTAAACTATTACTGAGCTTCCAGTTTCCACCTTGATAAGAGCATCAACATCTTCTAAAACATGTCCTCTGACAATATGCATTAAATCACAGGCATGTGACAACATTTTATGTGTACTCACATTAGCTAATAAGTACTTAACCTGCCATGCATCATAAGTTAGGTAACTACTTGACTATACATTGCAACCTTAGCTCCAGTCAAATCTCCAAAGCCCTGTTTGAACTCTGCCCCTGGGACTATGGACAGATGCACAGTGTATCTGATCAGTCTTAAAAAGAGACCAACATTTGCCCTGACTGGTATGACTCAGTGGTTAGAGAGTCAACCCACAGGCCAAAGGGTCTCGGGTTCGATTCCTGGTCAAAGGTACATGTCTGGGTTGCAGGCTCCATCCCAGTGCATGTGCAGAAGGCAACCAATCTCTCTCTGTCTGTCTCTCTCTCTCTCTCTCTCTCCCTCCCCCCCTTCTCTCCCTCCCTTCCACTCTCTCCTAGAATCAATGGAAAAAAATATCCTCAGGTGAGGTGTAACAAAATAAAACAAAAAAAGAAACCAACATTTGATCAATGCTTTAAGCTCTTAAATGGAAGCTCCTACCTCCTGACAGGTGGGTAGGCTTGTCTTTACCACTGGCCTGCTTCAATAACTGGAAAAAACATCGGCTGGAACGACTTTTTGATATTACAAACAAAAAATGATGTTCCCAGAGGCTTGGAGGAAGAAAAGTAAAGGGTTTTTTATTGGAGAAAAATCAAAGAACCTCCTAAGATATATTTTAGACACAATCTTAAGTCTATTTTCTCACACTACAGTGACATTTCCCCTATCATCTGGCTGCTGCCACCTTTTAAATACTGCACTCCCTCTTGTATAATCGCCCCAAGAATAAACAAATTAGGAAGCTGCTTCACAATGTCTTTTAAATGTAGGCAAATGTCACTATGTCAAATGATGTCCTACTTGCTCCTTTCTAATTCCTCCCCACTCTAGGAAAGGACTATTTCCCCACAGGCCCCTCCTCCTCACCCCCCCCCCCCCTTTCTCACTGAAGATCATACTATGAAGTCCTCAGCCCACACACTAAAGAACAGATTTCAGGGCAACTTAAGTGCCCATTAATTAAGCTGTAAGCCCATGCTGGGGAACACTTGCCCTTACTCGTGCAGTAAAAGAGGCCTGACCATGGTTTGTCAATGTTTAAACATACAACTACCATTATGACCAGCAATTCCATTTATAGGTATATACCCAAAAGGTAGTCACAGTAGCCAAAAGGCAGAAACAACCCAAATGTTCATCAACAGATGAATGAATAAACAAATGTACATATAATGGAATAGTATTTAGCCATAAAAAGGAATGAAGTAATGATACATGCTACAACAGGGATGAACCTTGAAAACATTATGTTTAGTGAAATAAGCCAGACAGAAGAAATACTATCATCTGATCCCACTTATATGAGGTACTCAGAACAGACAAATTCATGAGACAGAAAAGTCTATGGGGCTGGGAGGAGTGAAGAAGGAAGAGTTATTGTTGAATGGATATGGAGTTTATGTTGGGGATCATTTAAAAAAAATAGTTTTGGCCCTGGCCAGTTTGGCTCAGCGGTTAGAGCGTCGGCCTGCGGTCCGGAGAGACCCGGGTTCGGTTCCCGCTAAGGGCATGTACTTCGGTTGCAGTTTGTCCCCGGCCCTGGTTGGTCGTGCGGGTGGCAGCCACTCGATGTGTCCCTTCACGTCGATGTTTCTCTCTCTCTCTCCCTTCCTCTCTCTCCCTCCCACTCTATCTGTACAAAAAATGGAAAAATATCCTCGGGTGAGGAAAAAATAAATAAAAAATAAAATAAAATAAATAGTTTTGGGTATAGATAGTGGTGATGGTTACACACATTGTGAGTGCACTTAATGTCACTGAACTGTACACTTACCAATGGTTAAAATGATAAATATTATGCATATTTTACTGCAATGAAAAAAATTACTTGAGGGTGGAAAAAGTCAGTTCTGGCTTGAGTTCTGTAGTGGGGGCAGCTTGGCGGGCACCTGAGATTTAAGGGCAGAGTCACTACCCATAGTTTGGGAGGGTGACAACCTCATCTATATTCCAAGCCCATCCCCATCCTGAGTAGAGGGTGGAGCTTGAGAAAGGATGTGGAGGCTGAAAGCATGATGTTCCCAGGAAGAGTCAGCTACGCACCCTGCAGAGCATCACTGCCAGCTTCCAGGTCACTGAGAACCTTCCCTGCCCTGCCCAGCTGGGCTCCTGCAGGAGAGGGTCAGTGGTTAGGAAGAAAAAACTAAACTAAACAAAACCCAAGAAAACGCAGAGAGACTGCTCGTGGAATTTTACATAAACGTTTGTCTTCCACTTGTTTTTCAAGTGTCACAAGAATCGATTTTGGAGTAAGCAGGCTACAAAAAATATACTTTCCTTTTCTAATGATATAAGCTATAAATAGAGAGGGAATAAGAAGACTTGGAAAGAAGGGTAGGTGTTTTCTTTTACACCCACACATACATACATTTATATAAACACTATGGTTGCATAGTCTTTGTAATTCTTAAACCTAAAATTAATTTGAAAAGAAAAATGACGGACTGGCAGCCCCAGAGCACAGAGTGAGTAATTTTTTCCCCAGCCAGGTCACGCTCTACTATTGCCAAGTGTTAAGTGCTGTAAAGTTAGGCTTCCAACAAGTTATTCTTGTCCTCAAGCACTCTGCCACAAGTTTGAAAACCATCAACCCCGTAAGTTATCTGCTACAATAAGCGCATGTTTAGAAGATGCCTGAAACAAGGTAGCTCTCAAAAATGTGTTCAGTGAATCAATGGATACTTCCAATGCAAAACTTCAGACAAAACCAGCAAGTCAAAACCTCCCCAAGGGGCGGGAAGAAGAGGGATTCATTCTATTGGTTGGGTGCATAAAAAAAAAAAAAAAGTCGCTCTGATATTTCGATGAAAGCTTTTCCCCCACAGAACTAGGAATGGTCAACCGGACAACCACTAAAGGCAACCACCTTTTATCACCTTTGCTGTGGAACGGATCTATTGCTTAAGGCCCCAGGAAGCGCCCCTCCACCAGGCCATATCCTGTGTGAATAATTCAGGCCAGGACGCAGGCCAGCCCACGGCGCATCTGTGCGGGCGCCTCGCTCAGTCGTCCCCACTTCCTGCGTCTTCAGGCGGCTGGCCGTTCTGCAATCCCCCGGTTACAGCGAGGGCAGAAAAAGAGCCCCTTTTATCCAGAAGCTAAATACAGTGCCTGCTGCCTTCTTAGGCAAATGTTTCACCTGCTTGGCCAATTAGCCGCTTCTCGCAGAGAGACTAGTTCAACAGGTTTCCTTTTTCTCCTCCTCCGCCCCTGGGTTGGGGAAGGAGGCTGTCACTCGCTTCGGCCCTCCCCTTCCCTCCTTCGCGGCTCGGCCACGCTCGCTGGGCCAATCGTGGCGGCTCGAACGTGTCCAGGTTGGCGGCCTGGATGCGCTCGGCGGCGGGCGCGGGGGAGGCGCGGGGCGGCGCGCAGGGCCTGCGCCCCCGACGGTGGGAGCCGCGGGAGCAGCGGAGCGGGACAGCAGGCGCGCGGAGGTCCCCCGGTGCCCTCCAGACGCGGCCCCGATGACCGAACTACAGCAAGATGTGGAAGACACAAAGCCTGCCAAAGTGCTCGGGAAGAGAGAGGGCAAAGGGGGCTCAGCCCAGTGAGTATCCCGGGACCGCCCGCGGCGGCAGGCGCGCAGCCCAAACCTCTGTGCCAGGGCAGAGTCGGGGGTGGCAGCAGTTTTCGGAACTTTTACACGCACCGCCCGGAGGCTTGGGCGCTTTCTGCGGCGCCCGGTCTCTTTTTCTCCGATTCCGTGGTAGAGAAAAGGCACAGTAGCATTTCAGGAAGGTACTGTAGCGTGACGTCCGGTGGGGATGAGTTCGGGGGGCCGAGAGTACGGTTCGTGTTTTGTGATTCCCAAGGGAGGGTTGGGGGACCCATTCAGATCTCCGAGCCCGGTCAAGAACAGAGTGCTAACATTTACTGCCGGCGCCCTACTTCTTAAGGACGTGGGGGAAGACGCAGTTGTCTGGTAGATGATACTGGTCATTAGTTTCACAGTGATGTATGTTGGTCATTTGATTCAGAGCTTGAGGGTGTCTTTCTCCCATTCGCTTCACTGTTGCCCCTCAAGGGAGTGGGAAAATAGTGGAAAATATGAAATATGCTTTCTTTCCTCCTCCAAGACCGCCCACCTTTGGTTGGGTACTTAACATTAACTTGTTAGACACTTTTTTTGAGAGAGGGTGCGGGAGAGGCGTGGAGGAATACAATGAATATACGATAAAATATTTCAAATATTGGGTTGTGACTTCTCCTAAGAGATTGATGGGTATAATAGGATTTGCACGTTGTTTGACCTATACCACTCTTCTGGTTTAAGAAACTGAAAACGCAGATATTTTGGTCACAGGGATTAGTAGCTTTCTGTAATGAAACGCCTTTGCCTGTACTTTGTTTTTCTTTTTTTATCCAGAAACATGATTATTTACATGATTGTTATTCCCAAACATTCTTCTTTTAAGAACGAAAAGAATCTTTCAGCATTTGCTTATTTGGAGTCACCATAACATTGTGATATTAAGATAAATATCTGAATAAGATAGATATCAAGGTGTAATATCTAAATAAGCCCAGTTTTTTTATGGCACCGAACTGCTGGGGTACCTAAAATGCTTTCTTTTAATTTAATTTTTTTTAATCCTTACCTGAGGATATTTTTACATTTATCTTCAGAGTGGGAGGGCGAGAGAGAGAAACATAGTTGTGAGAGTGACACATCAACTGGTTGCCACCTGCATGACCCCAACCGGGGCCAGGGACAAACTGCAACCGAGGTCTGTGCCCTTGGCTGGAATCGAACCTGGGACTCTTTGGTCCACAGGCTGACGCTCTAACTGTTGAGCCAAACAAGCCAGGGCTAAAATGTTTTCTTGATAATAATATTTAAAAATGATAAATTTGTTTTTTCTTTTTCTATTTTTTTTAAATCCTCACCAGAGGATATGTTTATTGATTTTGGGAGAGAGAGAAACATCGATGGGAAAGAGAAACATGATCACTTTTCTCCTGTATACACCCCAACTTGGGGGTTAAACCCACAACCTAGGTATGTGACCTGACCAGGAATCAAACCCAAAACCTTTTTGGGGCAGGGGATGATGCTCCAACCAAGCCACCACCCGGCCGGCAGGGGCGAAGATGGTGCATTATTTAAATGAAGATTCAATCTTTATCATTCTTTATGTCAGCTTTTACTGATTTTTAAAACCCATAGCCTGGTTCCACATAAAGACTTGTGTTGATAAAAGCATATTTCATCTGTGTGTCTGTTGACATTTGGGCTAGACTTTTGGAAGAAGAGCTTCATTAGCTTCTTTGGTTTATCGTTTAAAGGTTTTGGTCATATTCTTGTCCATGGCTGCTCTCTCCTTTGCCCTCCCAGCTTTGTCAGCTTCGGTTGATGTTCTTTTCTCTTTACATACAAATCGATGATGGAGAAAAATTGCTATCGGTATAACCTTCACAAAAATGTTTTTGTTTTCTCACCCCAAAATAAAAACCTAACTCTATGCTAATAATTCATGTTCAAGAAAAAGATGAGCCGTCAAATGTTAGCTATGTCCTTTGCACTTAATCATTCTCTTATGTTACTCGCTGAAGGAGAGGTATTGTGGATAGTCTTATCACTATTTCATAGATGTTGGAGGGAACAGGAATGTGAGATGGCACAAGCAAGACTGGAACTCAGGACTGCAAACTTGTAGTCCAGAACTCACTCCCAGGCAATATTTGTTTAGTTGTCTTTACACAATGGAGAATGACTCAAGTCTACGCAGCAGCTACTGAGTTTCGGAATCTTCACACTCCTAGTCATCTAGGTGTTCAGTTAGGGAGATTGTTTTGAATGATTGAAAAAGTCTTCTACAGTATTTGGACTAATTCTCTTAACTCAAAATGCTTTAGATGTCGGGGAAAGATTTTTGTAGATGATATGCATTGAAGCTCAAGGTCCCAACATAGCTCTTCATGGGGAACAACCAGTTTCAAATTCAGTTCAGTTCAACAAATAATGGAATACCTGCTAATTGTTCCATAATGGTGGGAATACAAGAATGTATATGATGCTGTATCTGCCCTTCTAGAACTTCAAGAACAGTTTGGAGAGGAGGCACATTGGTATATTACTATACTTCTAGGGACATTGGTGGCGATTGTCACACAAAACACACAAATAAGATGCTATAAAAAGTTTGACCCAGCCCTGGCCGGTTTGGCTCAGCAGTTAGAGCGTTGGCCCACAGACCAGAGAGTCGCGGGTTCGATTCTGGACAAGGGCACGTACCTCATTTGGGGTTCAGTCCCTGGCCCTGGTCAGGGTCATGTGGGAAGCAATCAATCAATGTGTCCCTGTCACATTGATGTTTCTCTCTCTCTCTCTCTCCCTCCCTCCCTCCCCTTCCTACTCTATCTGAAGATAAATGGAAAAATATCCTCCGGTGAGGATTTAAAAAATACTACTAATAATAAAGTTTGGCCCATAACAATCTCCACAGTTCGGATGTTTATCCCTTTGGTAGTTGTTAAATTTGTCTTTGTTTATTGGGGGTGTTTTTGTGCTTGTTTTCCCCTTCAAAGTGGTCATTTCCAGGCCTTCTGAAGTCCCTTCTGCTTCAGTCTAAGATTTTAGACACTCTCTTCCTCTGAGCTCCTAGACTCTTGCTCTGGTAACAGAAGAGTCCATTTAAGAGGGAGGTAGATACATTATCACAGCATGATAATGGCGTGATAATTCCATATTTGAAATCATTTTAAGTAGGTCAAATTGTCACACCTGGAAACCCAGTCTAACTTCTGTTTTAAACTTTATAACTTAGATTAGTGGTCACTAAGCTCAGTGTGGAAGTTCAGTGTCCCTATGGACATTGCTATCAAGAGTGTCAGAATGGCTCGCTCTTCCCCATTTCCCTGCATCTGAACTACACCCACATAGGCCTCATCTCCTAGGACCCAGTCTCCTAGTAGCAGTAACTGGCATTTATTGAGAATGCTTGCTGGGTGACGGGCAGTGCGCTCAACACTTGACATTCATTCTCATACAGAATGGGTAGTCACCAGTGTCTGCGTTTTACAAGTAAGGACATTGGAGCTCTGAGAAGTTAAGCAGCTAGTTAATAAGAGAACACAGTTACTAAGAGAACAGCTCCAAGCCAAGTCCAGGTCTCCCAACTCTAGAGCCTGAACTTGAATACTTAATTTGTACTCTACTCCAGAACCTATGATGGCCCTCCATGACCTACTCTAAAATACAGGGTCCTCTGCAAGAATTTAAGACCTTTAGATATCTGAACACACGTAGACCATTTCAACCTCATTTCCCAATGTTAGGCGGCATGCACGTCTTTATAGCCAAACAGTCACACTGACATCCCTGTTCTCAAGAGGTCATAATACAGGAGAAAAGGAACAGGCAGTGCTGAATCAAGTTCCCTTCATTCTTCTCTTGTCCTCAGCTCTATTCTTTTGCACAAGTAGTTGGTTCCCTCTCTTCTGTTTCTATGCTTCTATAAATCAACTCAAGTTTTCCTTCATTTAAAACCTTTCCTTATCACTGGCCATAGTCATCTCTTCCCATCAGTGCTTACGTAGTATGTATGTGGTCAGCCCCATAAAATGTAGCTGCTGTCACAATTACTATTATTATTAATTAACAGTAAATATTTATTGAACATTTAATATATACAAAGTGCTTGGACTTAAGTTTACGTTGCTAACATACAGTAACTCGCATACTAGTCTAGTGTATATTAGTTAGCTTTCCCCTAAATAGATTGCAAACACCAACCATATTTTCCTTTATTGAATTTCTCAGAGGGCCCAACACATAATTACTTTCAATAAGCATCTGTTCATGAGCTGGGGAAGCTGAGACCCCATTTGCCCTGATTAAGATATATGTGCTTATAGCTGGCATTCAGCTGGACTATCTCAGGGAAATTCCACTGTTTTGACATTTCTTACTCAGATTTTCTATCAGCAGCAGGTAGAAATTTTAGGTACTGTTGCTTGCCGAGAGCTGTGGCTTAGTTACTTATCTTCATGCTAAAAGTGAGGCTGCAGATTTGCTTTTCACCAAAGTGCATTTTGAGACCCTTTCTTGCCAAGAATTGGTCAGCTAGCAGCCTGGTCCTTTGACATCCTGGTTTTTCCCAGTACGTAGACAGTTCTAACACAGCCTAACTCTTCTGACACATTTTATGAGAAACACTCTTATTTCTTAAATTCTCTGATTTAGTAATAGCCAGGTTACTTTTAATCAATTTCAAATAGTATTTAAAACTAATGCTGATATATCTCGGGGAAAAATATTTTGATTCGTATTTCAAATAATGAATTACCTTATACATAACATATGCTTGTAATGCAAATTGAATTTTAACACTTGCATTTTAATAACTTGGGATGTAAGAATTCTAGAAATGTGTTCAACCACATACAGATGGAGAAAGAGTAGGTGGATTTGGACAACATAAACATTTACCTTGAAAGGAGATTCTCTGGTATTGTCAAGAAGTGATAATGATTTTAGGGGCATCCTTTACCTTTAAATCATGAATTCAAGTAAAAATAAATTGCCTGCAGGAAGAGCATTTATTA